GTTACAAAAACTATCCCCTCTTAAATCAGGTAAGACCTGAACTTACCAGACAGGTAGCCAACACTTTAGTCAGACCAAAGTGTTTTTGATTTGAACACCTACATGCTTTTCTGCCTCAGACTAAACCTCTTGGAATTTCCAAAAGCTTTAGACTTATGGCGCACTTGGTTCATCTGTCCAAATCCAGAGTAAACATTCATATAATGAAGTACTCATCACCTCTTCTGGTCTGAACACTAATTGGTCCACATACATTAGTATGTACCAGTTCCAGTTGAATAGTTGCGCAAACCTTTTTGGCCCTTGTAGGATTGCTTGGCCATTTTACCTTCCAAATAGGACTAACATGTAGCTGTTAGTTAAAAGATTCTTGAACTTTCAGTCCCTCTTTTAACTAAAACATGTTTCCTACTTGAGATAATGTGACTCAATCACAAAGGCCAAAGTTATGTTTCATTTGAAACTTTTATTTCTTTGGTGAAAATCCTTGTTCATCATCCTTTCCATTCAACATAACAAATTTAAAAAGGGTATAGGACATAGGTAATAAAGACTATTTAAACAATGTACCAGAAAAAACAAGACGAAGATGAACTTCGAAATGTAACTGAGGAATCAATTGCATTGTCAACCCATGTTTTAACCAAAACAACTAACAAAAATTGAATTCCTCTTGAAATCTGGAACAAATAAACAGTCACCCAAAACCATAGTCTTATAAATAACTTGTCCTACTGCAAATGCAGACACCAAGTTCCCATTTTCAAGCTTAAAATATCTATGTCCATTGCTGACAGGTATGCCATGTTTGAACTACTACAAAGAGTAACAAACATAATCAGTGATTCCTGAATCAATGATTCATTCACTGATCAGGCCTTGATATGCCCATGTCTGGTTCTTTTCATCACCTCTGGGCAATTTTTCTTTCAGTGTCCCTTCAGTCTGCACTTGAAGAACTTGCCTTGCGGCTTCTTCATAGCAACTGGTTTGACAACTGATAACCAAGTTATTTTGTTCTTGTTACCACCCTTGGGTTTCCCTTTGGATTTAACAAGACTCTTAGCAAAGCCTGCACCGACTGCATTCTGTCTAGCAGAACTGCTAGACGCAGCAAACATGTCATTAAGAGTCTGAAGCATTTCTACTCCACTCTTAATCATGTACACTTGCTTCTGCAAGTATTTGGAAAGACTGACAAGAACATAGCAGCGAACTACCATATCTGCCCTTTCCCAATCTGAGAAATGCATCTTAGTTTCCTAAGACGCATCCTCTGCAGGTTGCTATGGCCCTCGCATTGTCAGAACAAATTTTAGCTTCCATGTTTTAGAACAATATCAAAAATTTGCTTTTCACTTATTCATAGTTGGTACCATCTAGAGGTTTTCGACTCAAAATCATTTCTAAGATATTTTCTGAAAAACATATAAAGCACACAATTACAAACAAATAATGCAATAAACAAACGAAGTGCAAGTAGATTCTCATAACTACTCTTGTTTATTGTTAACAATCCTTCAGTTTATCTTTACAAGGCTTACGATGGGCAAGTCACTTGTAAAAACCAAAATTGTTATTTGGGCCTTCAGTGCCATTGCCAGAGCCTCGATGGGAGGGTTAACAATTTTACCAAAGTTGAATGTAATTAACCATTGTTTAATTTCAAAATTATCCTTAGTGTCTAAGCATTGCCGACGATGGGCCGTACAATACTTTACTAAAATTTTGAAATTATTAAGATTTAATCTAGTGAAATCTGATTATCCTTATCCGATGGGGCTTCAGCGATAACCATTTCACTAATAAACCCACAAATGGAGCCCGCAGGTTTTAAAATTAATTAATTTTTAAAACCTTCACCCATTCAACATTTTTGTTTGAGAATTTTCATAAGCCCAGTCGAATTCATTGTTTAATTTCAAAATTATCTTTAATAACTTAGTATTATCGACGATGGGCCGTACAATACTTTATTAAAATTTTGAAATTATTAAGGCCCAATAAAATCCAATCATGCTAATCCGTTGGGGCCTCACATGATTATTTTATTGATAGGCCCACAATGCGCCTGGAGGTTAAATTAATTTCTTAATTTAAATCTCCTCCCATAGATATTTAAGTCCAATCTAATAAAATCCAATCATGCTTATTCGATGGGACTTCACATGATTATTTTATTAATGGTCCTATAATGCGCTTGAAGGTTAAATTAATCTCTTAATTTAAATCTCCTTCCATTCAACATAAGCAACATTTTCTAATTTCCAAGAATTATTTAATTGAGAGTATCCTTTGTTTGATTTCAAAAACTATATAAGTAAGAGCGCCGATAAACGTGCACTAAGCTTAACATAATTTTGAAAGCATTAAGGTCCTGAAATCCGGTCACTTTACGTCAGCGTGTGCTCCAAACAATCATGATACATGAATGTTGTATGCAGCGTGTGTTATTCCATGACCATTTCAGAAAACCCACAAATTACTCGCAAAATAAAAGAATTCTCTTAGGAAATTTTCTCTAATTATTTTTCTAGATTTAAATCATCCAAATAGCTGACTTAATTATTAATCTAGATTGCAACAATCATAATAATTATCATTTATGAGGATAATTTGAAATCAAAATAATTTCCATAACGATTATTTGTCTTGATGTTAATTATCCAAAATTAATTAATTCAATTATTAATCTAGATTTTTAATAAAAATCATAATAATTATTAATTAATTTCTTAGGATGATTTAAAATCAAAATAATCCCATAATAACTATCATACTAGTCGCTGAAGACATAATAGCTATTATGCTCATGCAATCATACAAGTTATGCAACAATATGGCACCACCTATTCTATATGGCATGTTATCGCAATAAAGCATGTTATCAATCATATAATTTATACCAATCAATAAAAGCATTAAATAATAAATCATAATTACTTTAATCCATGGCCTTCCTATTTTAAAGAAAATAAAATAAAATAAAATTAAATAATACAACTTTGGAATTCGACTTTCGCCTAGCCCATAGTATCTGTCTCAAGCCCCTTTAGGGTTTCATGGGCCCAAAAGCCCAAAGACCCAATCCTTTGGCGAGAAACCCTAGGACGCGAAAGAGGAACCCTAGCCGTCAGGTCTGCCGCGCCGTCACCCGAAGTCAAATCAGGCTGAAACTCCAGGGGAAGGACCGCCACGTAGAGACGAGTGCACCGCCGCCGGAACCACCCAAAAAGGTGGCCGGACGCTCCCTCACTCTCCCATTATTTTCTGGAGAGTGGCGGCCACTCTCAGCCCCTTGTGGAGGCGCGTGGTGGAGCGTGGAGTCTTCGATGGCGGTGATCCACCCACCGTTGCGTTCGTCTTTCCGTCCTCTTTCCAACCATATATAGATCTCCTGATTCCGAGATCGGGAAGACCTCGAAAAGTCTTCGACAATACTGACTACGCATCTTACTCGCGGTTTCTCGATCTTGAACTTTTACAAAATATTGGAAAAATACACAGAAATTTCGAAAATAAATAAAAACAGCAAGGAGGAAACCTAATCATATGGGATTAGCCTCCTTGTTACAAATCGAGAAATACACGAGAGACCCTAACCATGGATTAAATCATTTTTACCGATTAAAATTTAAACTTTTATGAAAATGAATTATAAAATACACATGCTAGATTCATACCATAATCCTAGAACCCTAGGTGCCACATTTCAAGAAGCAAAACTAATTACATGAATAGTGAAACTAGATTCACATACCAATATACAGCCAAGGCTCTGATACCAATTGTAGGAAATCTTAGATTTATGCGGAAGCGGTTTAGGACCTAGTACATTGGTATGCTTACCGAATCATCCTTGTTTCACAATTACCTCTCGGTGCGCAGGTCTCATGTAGAATCTTCCCTTGTAGGATTCCTCTTCACGAACAGCTCACCTCAGCGCCGCAGCACGAACAACCTCCTTGAAGCTGGACTGTGGCAGATCTTCCAAACTATCTCTCGAGGAGGAAGGGGAAGTGTGTGGGCACTGATTAGATTCAGAGCTTGCCTCTTTCTCACAAAAAAGACCTTGAAGGCTGATGACTTAAGAGGTACTATTTATATGGGTTCCAAGAAACCCTAGCTCATTGGGCTCTAGGTTCCTTGGGCTCTTCTCATACTAATAACCCATTTGGGCTTTAGTAAAAGAGCAAACCCAACATTATCAAGTTCCTAAGCATGGGAAAAATAAAAAATAAAAAACTTTATGGAAAAATGTAAGGTTGCATCAAAATTCTCATTAAATGGAGTACAAACTAGAGTATAGAAGAGAGTCCTCCTAGCCATATATAATTAGTAGTTTTATACATACACAAGTCATTCTCGGACTTTTAATCTCAAGCATATAACACATTTGAGGTGAGGTCATTTCTATAATTGAGGCTAAAGTTAAGCTTCCTTGTTTAATAAAACAAATAAGCTTGGTTGAATATTCAAAAAGATGAGTTCAAATAGTTCACAAATATTATATAGGCATTTTAGTCGAATAATGCTTTTCTAATAATTAAATGCTGCACTTATATCTAATGTATTTAGTTGAATAGAAGTAGATTGCAACTCTCAAGCATTTCTCTTGAACTTTTCTTTTATTATAAAAAAACTAAAAAATATATCCACTCAACTCTTTAAACGTCGATGAAGTAACCCATTTGTAAGAAATTCAGATCCTATTTTTTTTATTTAATAAATTATTATCTAAAGTTTTTTTTTTCTACAATTAATTATGGGTTTTATAAGAGTTATGTTGTAGGAAAAGTGATTGTGTAATGTTATAGAGATTCGTTTTGCGTGCCTTAATTTTTTATTTATTTTTTTGTTTTAAAAAGTGTGGCCCCACAAAATGTTGTGAGAGTAGAAAAGTTTATTGTGTTATGTTAAAGGATAAAATGAAAACCATTAATTATATATCTAGGAATCCTTTCTTCCTTCTAATCTTATTTATTTTGAATTCTAGGTTACTCCCAATTTGGAGGTACTGTGGCTCAGTAAGGAAGAAGCCATGGAAATTGAGCAAGGAAAACTTCCTGTTGACCTCCAAGGAATAAACTACATCAATTTGCACGGCTTTCTTGATGAATTAGACATATTTCCATTTGGTTTCCATTCAAAGGTGATACTACACAGAATTGAAAAGCTTCGGGTGGTTGATAGTGCCTTCAAAGAGATATTCCCCTCTCAAAGGCCTCACATAGCTCATACTGAAATCCTTTCACAGCTTAAAGGATTGGAGCTTCAGAGTCTGTCCCAGCTTGAATCAATAGGGTTAGAGCATTCCTGGGTTGGCCCATTCCTTGAAAATCTTGAAACATTACTTGTTTCTGCATGCAATTGTTTGACAAACTTGATTCCATCATCCACTTTGTCTTTCTGCAATCTGACACAGCTTAATGTAAAGGATTGTGGTGGATTGAAATATTTGTTCACATCCTCAACCGCCAAAACATGGCCTAAACTGAAGGAGATGTGTGTAGCCAACTGTGAATCAATAAAAGAAATAGTGTTAACAAAGGGCAAGGAACAAGCTATAGATGATATGATAATATTCGAGCAGCTTAAGATTTTGACTCTTAGCTCGTTGCCAGAACTTGAATGCTTTTACTCGGGGAGTTCCTCTTTGCATTTCCCATCCTTGCAAGTAGTGTTGATCACCCGTTGCCACAGCATGAAATGTTTCTGTTATGCTGCCTATGATCAAACATATCATGTGTCGATGCTAATAGACGGTGCATGGTATTTTGAAGGAGATATAAATAATATAATCAAAAAAAAAGTGGGAGAATACAACAGAGGATGCTGATGAACAATGAGTCAGTATAATGACAGATTCCCATGACTTGTAAGTATATACAAATTAGCTGATTCTTATGGTGATGCAATATATGTTAATTAACTAACTTCCTCTCTGTCTTCTCAATTTGCATATTTTTGTGTTGTGCAGTGCACTAATTGGAAGCTAAACACACCAGAAAAATTGTATTGCCTCTATTTTAAAACATATCGTTAGCTAAATACCTTCAACTTCTGTTAATTATCCGAGAAGGCTCATTTCATCATCTAATTAGTAGTGGTCATTTTTTTATGTCCTCTACATCCATGAATTTTGGAACAGTAAATCAATATGTATTTTAACTCAATTATTTTGATCTTATCTGATCACATCATTTTTGTTAATAATTTGTTTCAGGAAAATTATAGTTGTCTTGTTTTTCAAGAAGCAACAGAGCTGAATACATGGAATGTTGGTGAGTTTGTTATTTTTCCTGCATTTATTTTTTCCTTCTCATGAAAACATGAATTTGAAAATAGTAAAACATTACATGACAAGTTCATTTTGAGAAATAAAAAAGATTGTTCATAAATGATAATGGATTCAATTTGATTTAGTATGCATAAAAACTCATAATTGTTAGAACTAGAATTTTAAAATCAGGCTAGCAAACAAATTAAATAAACATTTACATTTCATGGTCTCACATTTTCTTATGCTTTATGAAATATGATTTAATCATGAATTTTTTCCTTATCAAAGTTTGGGTGCCAACCACTGTCTTAATGAATAGACTCGTCATATTTTCCCTTTTTTTTTTTTTTCTAAGTTTGAAACAATTTTAACTTTCAACAACTATCTAATGTATTTTTAATTTGAAGGTTCAACGGGACTCAGTGCAATTAGATGATAAGTGGATAACATCATGACAACAACTATTGGCAAAGTGAGGGCTTTTCTTTTCTTGTGGAGTGTTGTGCTCATGAATAAAGTTTACCTGTATATGCTTACAGGAAGTGTGCTTTTGAAGTTGCTGAATAAAGCTGTCCTGTATTTTTATACAGGAGGTGAGGTGTGTACGGTTTTTAAGTTACAAGGGTATTTCATAAATAAATTTGACTTGCATTTTATAATGACCCTAGCTGATAAATCTTAGTTAGAGATTTAATTTAAGGATTTAAATGCCATAATTAGATTCAGTGAGCGATTTCGAGTATTTTGACTGTAATCATGACTATGTTATGAACAGTGCGTTCTGCCGGAGAATTTACAGTTTTGTGAATTAACCGGTAGAGCTTAAAATGAGCAAAATAATTTTAGGAACATAATTTGAAAATTCTGATGACAAATATGAGTTCAGAACGAAAAATTGTATAGTCTGGCACTTTCCGTGAAAATCTCGTGAATAATGTTTCTACCGGGTATTTTGTACTGCTGTTTAAGCAACCGGTAGAGTCCAGAAATAAATAACTGATGAAATAAGAATAAGAAAGTCCAATATATGCCAAGCAAGTCAATATAGGCCCAAGAAAATAATAAGTTTATAAGTGTTAAGTTTCAGAATTTAATAAAGTACAGTTAGTGGTTCACAGTGCATTTCGTTAAAAACGGTACAAAAACCATACTGTGAATTATAAATATTGTTCCTTAGAAAATAACAGTTAATGTAAAGGACTTTAGAAAAATAAAAATATATTTGTAGCTTTGAGTTAGTTCCGGGTTAGTTTAAGTGAAAATACGCGAAAGAAAAATACCCGGGTAAAAGGCCACATGTGCTCACCTTTTTAAGTCACTTAAGCTTCATTTCCAAATAAAATTCTCTCTCCTCTCCTCACTCCAAACCCGAGCTGCACCATGAGAAAGGGGGTTAGGGTATTTTTTTTTGATTTTGTTGATTCTCTTTGAATCTTCCACCAAATCTAATGACCCACCACATAAAATCGATTAGGAACTACTCAATGAATCCATTGCACCTATCCATTTGAGCTATAGTTGAGTGTGTGAAGAGTTATTCCTCCTCTCATTTTCGAGTTACTATTCATTGGAGGAGAAAAAGTGAGTTTTTGATGGAGCTTGGCTTGGAGATTGCTCTCTAGGCTTTGTACAAGTGTTTAGAGGTAAGAAACCTCTATTTCCATGATATTATTTTGATGATTTAAGTTATGAAATATATGAGCATGTTGTGAGTGGGGAATAATTGATGTTAGAATGTGAAATTTATGATGGATTATTGTTGTTTAGGAAGTTATAGTGTTGAGTAAGCATCCACATGTGATATAAAAATTTAAAAGCCCTATTGCATCTTCCTCCTAGGTTTCGGCCATCATGGAGTGAGTAGGAGTTATTGTGGAAAAAATTATATTATGTATTGTGAAGGTATAGTGTGTTGGAAATGAGTGAAAATGGATGAGTTAGTAAGAATGCCTAAGTAAAAAGGACTTGGTGTCTAAACTCAAAATAGGAATTTAGTGGAAGCATTCCTAGGTGTTTGCAAGTTGTAATGAAGTAACGAAAATGTATTGAAAAAGAGAAGGATCTTTGGAAATTCCCCTTGTAGGATTCGACCTATAGGGTATTTAGGGATATATTTTGTACATTTTATTTTAAATAAAATGTGTTGTAATAAATTGTATAAAGGTGATGAGTTTTGAAGAAAAATAGCATGATTTATGTTGAAAATTCCTAAGGGAATGGTTGATTAAATTAAAGAACACCAACGGTTATAAAGAGGTCTAGACTTGTGTATTGGCATAGGATTGGCAAAAATGCAAAGAAAGGAAAATAAGCGATAAAATATATGCTTATGAAATAATTATGGTATTGCATCATTTTATTGATGCATTGTAAATTATTCTCTAGGTGTGCTTAGGGATTGAGAAGGATCGGAAATCTCTTGAAACGATAAAAGTAACTTGTTCCACAAGTAAGCGTATTGGTAAAGCTTCAAGAGGTAAGCTCTATGTTTAAGGAGTCTTTTCCTACTTGAGTGCTCCACCATGGTTAGTGAACTATGGTTGGACTGTATGACTGTGATTTAGATGCTTTGTATAGATGCATTCATATAGAGTTATTTGATAACATGATATGTTTTTGCTCTGATATGACTTCTGTAATATGATTTCTGTAACAATCTCTGGCCATTGATTGTATAGTACCCGGATGTCCGCTTTGGGGTCCTCCCTCGGGACTGATGGTGTACGCCTCTGATATGTCTGGTTCCGCTTTGGGGTCCTCCCTCGGGAACACGTGCGTTGATTTCCGCTTGGGGTCCTCCCTTGGGAATGACGGCGCACATCTCTGATATGATATGGATATATGCTCTGTTCTGTTATGATATCTGTTATATGTTGTATTTGTATACTCTGTATCTGACTTTCATGCAGGAGTGAGCCAGGGGTATGGAGAATTCTCTATAAACCTGGAGCTTATTGAGATTTGTAATCTCACCCCTCTTTGGGGACATATTTTCAGGTGCCCAGATTCCCGGTGAGTCCTCACTAGGCAGGGACACGACACGTGGCCGAGGCAGTTGACAGATTGGATTTGGAGTGGCTGTAGGCTACTACCTTTTTGGAGTGTTTGATGTATTTTAGTATTTTCGCATTTGATGGATCATGATATTGATCCTTTATTGTGTATATGGCCTGTATATGTTTTGTACATGTCTGTCGCTTTGATGCATGTACATTTGGGTATTCAGGCACGTTATATGATGAGGTAGTATTCAGATATGTTTATGTGTTGGATTGCATGATGTTAGATATAGTGGCACTGAGCCAAGTTATGCATGCGCCCATGGATGGGCATTTGATTATATTTGTATAAACTGTTTATCAGGAATGCTTCTGTGAGGGATTGGAAAATCCCCAGTTGTCCGATTTATAGAGGAAACTCTGCCCGATTTTCGTTTACGACGAATGAGAATTTAAAAAGAAAAAGAAAAAGTTAGCTCGTATTTTCAGAAGTTAAGTCTTCCGCTGTTTTCTGTTTTATCATATGTATGTTAACTGAACCGGCTCGAGACGGGGATGTTACACATTTCTAGACGAGGTTTGCCTTGCTTGTAATTATGTTACAAAAGGGTACTGTCCTATGACTGAAGTTATCATGGAGAAAGCTGGCAACTTGACATGTATTTCTACATGTGGTGTGAAGTTGTTAAGTGTGTTTTAGAATAAGTTGATTCGTATTTTGACAGGCATTGTGTACAATTTTTGAGTTGTGGAATGTATCATGAATAACTTGACATGTATTTCTGCAGGCTGTGTGTGGTTTTCAAGTTGTGGAATATTTCATGAATAAATTGACTGATGTTCTACATTTGTTTACTATTTTCAAGTTGAAAATTGGGTTCAAGAATAAAGTTGACATGTATATCTGCATGAATTATATATGATTTTTAAACTACAGAGTGGTTCATAAAGTTTGTTTGTGTTTCCTCAAGATACGTCTGTAGTCTTTTTTTTATGGTAAATTGGAAATTTTTAAGTGATAGAAATGGTGTTCGTGAATTATGTTGACATGTGTTCATATAAGTGGTTAAGAATTTTAAAGTTGCAGATTGTAAATATAATAATAACTTACCATTGCTTCGCGTACAGTGCTCTAGATTCAAATAACACCGTTTGTTCGTGCATGTCATTTGAGATTTTAGCAGTTACATTAATAATGGAATGTAATAAAACAACCTGCCTTTGGAATTTAATTATTTTGTTGTGTTCCAATTGGCTGTGAATGTGATCATATTCTTGTTAGACTTTGTGTTGTTCTATTGCTTACAATATTCTTTTAACTTCTTTACTCTGTAATTGCATATAAACGTATTCTTTTTTCTTTTTTCTTTTTTTTTTTGGTGGTGGAGCCAAGCCCCAAAGAGAACAGAAAAAAAATTACACTCGAGAGCGTCTAGCTCTATGAACAGAGCTAAAATTACCACCTAATTTCAGGGAGAAGGGGGGGGGGGGGGAGAATTAAAAACAATAAAGTTTTCTTGATCTACATTCTCCAAAGGAAGATTTGCAAGCCAGTCCGCACAAACATTTCCCTCTCTATAAGTATGAACTAGTCGAACAGTCCAATCCTTTGAAAGCCATTCCTGTATACGAGTCACAATATAAGACTCACAGGATGCATCACCAGCCTTGGTGAGCAGAGTGATTGCAAAAGCTGAATCACTTTCTAAAATAACCTTCCTCCAACCTCCTAACCAAGCCCAATTAAGACCTTTCAAAATACCCCAAAGCTCAGCAGTAATTGCATTACAATATCCCACCCGGTAAGAAAAAGCCTCTAACCACTTACCATCAGAGCCCCTAATCAAACCACCACATGCAACATTTCCTGGATTCCCTCTTGAGGCCCCATTAGTATTCATTTTAACCCATCCATCTTCAGGAGGAATCCACCTGATTAAATTCATGTCAAAAATTCTGCTAGTAGCCACACCATCATCAGATAAAGACGCTGAGACAACTTCTTCAGCAAAATATTTAACCACACCTGGATTGAATCTACTCTCCACCCTTCCTGAATCATGTAAAATTTCATTTCTCCATGTCCAAATCTTCCAGCAGGTGATACCAAACATTAATGCCCAAGGAAAGCTGAAACAGCCAGCAGCCATGTCTTTTAAATTATTAAATAACCAATCCTGCAAATTATAACAGAAAAAATAAGAGTTAGCTAAATGGGGTGACAGCTGAAGCCATAGATTCCTAGCATTTGAGCAATCTCGAAGCAGATCCAGAATGCTTTCATCATCTTGATTACAAACTGGACAGGTTGCAACTCCCAACTGAAATCTGTTCAATCTCATTCTTGTTGGCAATCGGTTATGACCCACTTTCCAAAGAAAAAGTCTAATTCTCTGAGGACCCACCCATTTCCAAATTAACTTCCAAATATCAGGAGTTTCACTTTGAATACTGTATGAATCTGAAAAAATAGAATACAGACCCTTTACTGATATCCTCGGGAAACCAGGGACAAGCCAAGATAATCTGTCAGCTCCATCATTCCATCTAGGAGGAAGTAAACTTTTAATATGACTGATAACATTTTCAGGAAGCCATCTTTTAAGAACATCAACCTTCCAGTTACCCAAATCATCCACATACTGATTAACAGTCTTATTAACTTCATCCCACGAAATAGGATACATAGATTGGTCCAATAATCTACCTGAATTATTAACCCAACTATCTTTCCAAAATCTGATTGAGGTACCATCACCAATTTCCCAAATAAGCAGCTTTTCCAGTTTCCTCCAGGCATTGCAGGTTTGACGCCAAATATGAGAGTCCCCTGTTTTTGATATGAAAATATCCATTCCCTCTCTACCTTGCGCATATTTAGCAAGCAGAACCTGAACCCAGAGATCATGAGGATTAGAGTAGATAGACCAAGCTAACTTAGCCATGAAAGCCTCATTCATACAGTAGATTTTTTTTAGACCGAGACCTCCTTTCTCCTTAGCTTTAGACATTGTGTCCCAATTAATTTGATGCATATGCCTTCTAGATTTCGTGTCACCCCATATAAATCTTCTTTGGATTTTTTCTATTTCCATACAAACTGCTTTGGGGATACCACCAGCCTGCATTTGGAAGTAAGGCATGGAAGCAATAACTGATTGTGAGAGTGTGACTCTCCCAGCTTGTGAAAGACATTTGGATTGCCATCCTGACAATTTATCATTAACTCTATCAATTATTTCCTTATAAGACTCTTTCGTAACTCTGCCATGTTGCATCCAAGCCCCAAGATATCTCCCAACATTATTTATTCTCTTGAAATTACAAACATCAGTAATACTTCTAGCCACCTCATCAGGAGTATTCTTAGAAAAGAAGATATTTGTCTTTTGGGAACTAATTTTTTGACCTGAAATATCTCCAAATAATTCCAAACATTTTAAAATAACCTGAATTTGCTCCACATTTGCTTCTGCAAACAGCATCAAATCATCAGCAAACATTAAGAGAGAAATAACTGCACCCTCTTTTACAATGCGAAAAGCCTTCCACAAATCCCCCTTGACAGCTGTATCAACAATATGAGAAAAAAATTTCGTAGCCATGACAAAGAGGTAAGGAGACAATGGATCCCCCTGTCTAATACCCCTGGAAGGTTGAAACTCTTCAGTTAAATTACCATTCCAAAGGATATTAATTTTAGCTGAAGAGATTGAGTGCATAATTAAATCAACCAGAATCTGAGGAAGCCGCATTTCCTGCATAGTGTTTTTCATAAAATTCCAGTTTAATCTATCATATGCTTTTTCAAGATCTACCTTTACAACCATGAAAACTTTCTTTTCTCTCATGCGATGCATAGTATGGATAATTTCCTGCACAACTATAATGTTATCCTGGATGTGTCTTTTCGGGACAAAGCTAGCTTGTATTGGAGATATCATCTTCATCATTAAAGGCTTCAACCTCATCACCATAATTTTGCTGATTATTTTGTAAATAACCGGGCAAAGAGAAATAGGCCCAAACTGTGAAATGTGATAAGGTGATTGATTCTTTGGAATGAGCACTAACAGTGCGGTTTGTTTTTAAATTCATTTGATCCCCTATATTTTTTTCTATCATTTATCTTCTTTATGATTTTTTTCATCCAAGTCCACTTTTAACATGGTTAAATATAGGGCTAATTAACAAAAAGAAATATTGGGCTAATTTGTTCTTTTGGCTCTTACGAACAATAAATAAATAAAAAGAAGATAAGTAATTCAAAGAGAGAAGTACAAGTGAATAAGTGATAAAATATTAAACCATAAGGGAGTGTTTGGTTGAGGAGAAATTTTATGAATAATAGGGAAATGTTATGTACAGGGAAATGGTTGAAAAGTGAGATAGGTAGGAAAATGTAAAAAAAAGTTGTTTGGTTGGAAAAAAATTTACCGGAAAAATTAGGTAACTTTTTTAAAATCTATGTTTGGTTGTAGGTAAAATATAGATGGGAAAATTAGGTAACTTTATGAAAATAACCCTGTTTGTAAAATTTATTTACGGTGGCATGCTACTCTACCCGTACACATCAAGTCAAATCCCAACGTTCATCTCTTCTCATCCAACTACACCAACCATCTTCTCCATTTTGTCCCAAATCTCCATTTGGGTCATTTAGTTTTGGTGCCTCTTTTCAACCTTTTACTTCATTCATTAGTTTTGGTGGGTGCTTCTAAACTCTTTGTTGGGAAAGGTGACTTTTGGGTACCCAGTTAAACAATTATTTTGTCAAACCCAGAAATGAAAGCTACCTCCTTTGCTGTTGTGTACCTTTGATTCATTTCAACCACGTGTCTTTGAGTTGTTCCTTGTAGTGTATTGAGGGGCATGGTCTTTTTGTTGTGTGTGAGTGATTCTGTTACTTGTTATACTACTTAGTTTCACATCTTCTTGAGGAAAAGTAGAATGGGATCTGGTAACGAGGTTCACTATGTTCGAGAGTTCAATTTGGATGCCAAGTGGCTCATAGATCCCAAACAACTACGAGAAGGGTACGCTCGTCTTTGGGCACCTTTTCCTTGTGAGAAAATATCCAGCTTTTCACCAATACCACCTACGAGAAGGGTAACTTTGGCCGGCAATATGTCTTCAAATTGATATGCAAATACGTTTGCTAGGAAACCCATTTAGGTAGCTAAGTCAGGAACCACCTTCAACCAAACGTAGGTATCTGATATTCCCACTACTCATTTATCTATCATTCTCAACAAATGCCTTCAACCAAACAGCCCCTAAGTGTGTTTTCAAACTTTTCCATTACAATAATTAAAAAGAAAAAAAACTTGAGGTGAGAAACAATATAAAAATGAACAAGCTAACGAGGTATATGAATTGCAAATAATGGGTGTTATATTCAAATATCATCCACATGCATCTTTTATGCTTGTCA